AGGGGGGGAGCTGATGGTTTCCTGCATTGCTCCTGGGTGGGAGACAAGCATCAAGTAAAATAGCAGGAGGACAAGCATGAAACGAGACACAAGCTCTAAGGCCTTCCTGATGTTCCCCTCAAACTTACAGCTTCCAGAAAAAATCCTTTGCAATTATCTCCCAGACTTTATCTGGAATTGGTCTTCAAAGACTCCAGATGTGTCGCTCTTTACAACTGTCCCTTTTTCTGTTCCTTTACCTGTCAGCTCCTCTTCTTGTGATGATTTCTTCCAATTTTCATGTCTCTACTGGAATATGGTGGTTTTTTTGCGTATGGTTTTAAAAATTTATTTCATCATACTTGGTGGTTGTCTATACCCGACACCTTCTGATACTTTTGATACTCAAAACTTCTCTTTAAATGACTCATTGTTTTTTTAGGTCTTTTTTCCCCAGTCTTGCAATCTTGATGCTTCTGTTTGTTTTTTTTCTCTATTGAAGAAAACAGGTGTAGTCCAAAACTGTCAGTTTGGGTCTATGGAAGATGTTTCCCCTTAGCAGCATGGTCTTACTGGTTATTACCACTCAAGACATTCAGTGAGTTTGTTTTCTCCAGCTTTGGGCAATGAAGTCTTCCCCTGCTTCCACACAAACCCAACAAAAGATTTCAAGTATTATTTTGAATGAGGATAAGTTCATATAAAGCTTAGTGCCTCGTCAGCATTTTGAATTACCTGACCTGAGCCTTCTGGCAGGGGCCAACTTCTCCGAGAGCCCTGTTACAGAACAGCCAAACAGAAGAGGCATTTACTTCATACCTACATGCTTATGGTGGTTGCCACAGCTGTGGCAAGTGACAGTCTGCGTCCAGGGTCATCTCACTTAACTCCTCTGTACTTTGGAGATAACTGTATTATGTTTATCTTTCATTTTCTTGTTGAAGCAGCTGTTTGTTGTTTGAATTTCGAGCTGTCCCTTGGAATCATCTAATGATGTGATTCTTCTCTGTGCCATAACACAGCTATAACTACTACCAGTTTATGCTAATGGGTTTTTATTTTCAGTTTTATTGAAATGTGTTGTACATTGGAGGCAATAAAAGCCAATAGATAAAGTGAGACACGCATTTCTCATTGATTGACAGGCATAGACTTTTCTGCTTCTTTAAATATTTTCAGGTCCTTTTGTTGCCAAACCATTGGTGCTTTGTGTTTTAGTAATGACCAGAGAAGTATAAATGCAGATTTAAAAGCAGGCCATGCAGTCCAAAGAAGTGCATATTGCATATGATGTAGATTTCATCCACTCTTCTAAGGTTATATGTATGATCTGTTTTGGAGTTGGATCAAGTAAAAACCTTCTAATATGAAATAAAAAGTTTGCTGAGCTAGTTAGCAGAGATTGTTCATCTACAGTTAAAAAGTGGATTGCTGCTTCATGAGGTTGGCGGGGCCAATGACGGCTTCTGTTAGCACATGGTTATACAGATTCAGGGTTAATCACCCTTGTGGGCAAAAAATGCTAAAATTAGCTGCCAAATGGATGTGTTTATCATATGAGCTACAATGACTACTTGGAGAAATCCCTACAGGTTTGAAAACAATAATAATCAAAATTGTATTTCTTAGCCATGGATCTTAGAGTATCTTTTACATATAATGGAATCAAACAAACCAAATCTAAAATATGCTTTGTTCATGTGCCATATGGTCGTTGTCTTGCCAAGCACTCTTTTTGCCTGCCAGAGCAGACTCCTGTGTTCTCCTTTCCTTGAATCCTGCCCTTCACACTAACAAAAAAAAAATGCTGCTTGACCCCCATAGTCATATGCTCACCATTCTCTTTTCCTCTTCATCCCTAAATACTTTTCCAGCATTTAAGAAAACTTCAAACACCTGAAAAAAATGTAAAATGAAGTAAAAACCTTTATGCACCACTGCATTGAAGGAGCCTTTTGAATTTAGCCATAGGTGTATTTAGCTTAATTCAGGACTTCAGCCCTTTCCTACCAGCCACTCAAAAACATACCAGCTTCTCTAAGGGATTTAAAATCCAAAGATGGGCAGATTTTATTATGGGGCAGGGGTAGGGCAGTATCTGGGTCACTGATGGTTTTGGGTTTAGGTCCCATACACCACATGGACAGTCCATTTCCAGAGCTCTGGGGAGAGGTGCTGTGTGTTGCCTCGTGTATTTTTAGCAGAAGGCTGTTTCCCGACCCCATACAGTGAGCACCTTGTGGTGTTATGCTGCCTGTCCCAAGGTATTAAGTAACCCACAGGCATTTCGAAATAGGTAATGATAACACGATTTCACTCGTGATAGTGCTTGGGTTCTTTCATTCTCCTGCTTGTTATGAAATCTGTAGGCTGGGAATTTCAATGGGAGTTATGAGAGGAGAGGAAAAACTCCCAGCTAGCCCTGGAAATGTATGGGATTATAGTAGAGACAGGTAAACACTCCCTGTTGCAGTCTGTCTTAACAAGGACCTCCAAAAAGCCTGTCATCTCAGTAAGTTCAACTTTTACCTTTTCCTTGCACTCTGTCCCTCTGCTGGGATTTTGATAGATTATCGTTTTTGAGATACAGGGATGTTGCTTTGCTAAGTTCAGCTTCAGAGACTTGCTGGGAGAGGAAATAGATGAGACAGGAAGAAAACAGAGCAGTGACACAGAGCTCCTAAATGTCAGTTCTTTTTGCCCGTGGTGTTTCACTGATACTGGAGCGAGGGATGTATAATATGAGATTACAGTTTCACACCCTATTTCCAGTTCTCTCCCAGAGTGGGCTGTAACTGTCCAAATTGTGGGTTTGCTTTCATCTTCATCATAAATTAGATAATTAAAAGTGTATGGCTTTAAAGCACTTCTGTGCCTTTTTTCTGCAGTCAGGTTATAGATGAAGCTGTCTGTTTTATTAGCTAGTCTCATAATTAGCAAGTGGATGCAATGTCTTCAAAATTGCGATTCCATCTGAGAATATTTTATTATTGGTTGCTGCAAGAAACATCTGGAGAGTGCTTAAAGCTCTTGTGTGTTACAACATTTCAAAGACATGGTTTTATCAGATCCTTGTGTTTTGTCCCTTTCTTCCTTCTTCTTCATATGGCCAGAAGAGCTAATAGAGACTTTCTTAAGCCTGGTAAGGTGATTCTAGATACAAAATTCTTTGGATAGTGTAAAGGTGGGGGTTTTGTTGTCTGTGTGTTCAACCTGAAATAGATAATGTTCTTTGATACATTTTTGGACATATCTTCTTTACATGGGTCAGTGTTATTTCTTTCTGCTCCTAGGCAAATTAATATACCCAAGTTAAAAGTGCAGAGGGAAGCAGGCAGCTGGCTGATTCAAAGGGAGAGGCTATGTTTTTCATCACCACCCTTTCAAAGCCTGTCTGAATCAAAAGAACCATTGGATTGCGAAGGCAAGACCTATGCCACACCAGAAGCTCCCAGTTCAGCAATTTTCCCAGGGTAAAATTATAACTTATGTTTCCTCAGCACAGGCTGTAACTGGCAGCGTTCCTTCTACATCTAAGGGTGAAATTGCTGGGGGGAGAACAGACAGCTAATGTGCCTCTGGAAGTTTTACAATGGGTGTTAGCCTCCTTTTGTGGAAAGGTAGATGTTCTTCTGGAACATACCCAAGGGCAGGTGCTATTCAAACTGGAGTATAAACTGACTTCAAAAAAGGCAGTACAGACTTATTTTTGTTCAGTTTATGAGTCAAATCTAAAGAAGAAAAAGCCGTTTCTCAAATTCTGACAGTTCATGACAATCTTCCAGTTATCCCACTGAAGTCTATTCCTTTTATGGGTCTTTAAAATCTTCATATATGACTGCAATTCAAGACGTTAATCTTTATTCAGATACTGCTGATAGGATCATACCTTGCAAACAAAACAGATTTTAGCAATGGTTGTTTTCTACTGTTGCTTCTCACCAGAAGATTATTGGACAAATTGAAAACTTGGTCCAAAAAGAATGTAACCAGTTGGTTTCTTTCCCACTTAAATCTTGACACCGTTTGTAAGGATTTGTTTAACTATACATTCAAATAAACCAGCATGATTCTGGCAAAGAGAAGTCCTTTCCTTCTAAACCCAGGAGGGAGTGGTTTTTTTCTTTTTCCTTGTCCTTTTCTTATGTAAAAACCCTTACAAAATATGTGTAGAGTGCCTGCTAGAAGTGGATAAAAGGCAACTGCACTTGAGTGAGAAGTCTGACTAAAAATTACATTATTAATATATCTCTACCTACAAGTAGTCTACCTGGGAGCAGTTGGAAGATGGATTCCAGTGTTCCCCTGTTCCTTCACGTGTCTGTTCCTGGTCCAAACCCCATGTACATGCACAGAGTGGAGGTGTCTGCCACACTCCTGGCTTCGCTGGGGCGGGAGATGAGCTGGGAGATTCTCCATCCCTCACAGAGGCAATGGGAGCTGTTGACTGCTCTGTGCTGGGCTATTCACAAGGACTGGGGAGAGCTGACCGAGTGGCTGCTTTGTTCAGGGAGGAGGTGTAGACTCTGAATGAAGCCCCTGAGTATGTAACTATGTTATCTGCAAAGATGCTGGTGGGCCACATCTCTTGCAGCAGGACTGAAATGGTCCAAGGTATTTGGATGGATGCTGCTTGCTGGAATGAATGAAGCCTTGTATGGAGGGGAGCTAGTCTGTCATCTCTGCCCTTTTTGTGCTTGTTTTCATATGAAGTGCAGGTAAATTCATGTTTTCTCTGCTACCCGAGGTTTGATAGAAGTAGAAGAAGAAAAGCGACCTATTTTCCAGATTTAAAGGAAAGTAAATGAAACTGTCCTCAGGGCAGCAGAAGCAAAGACTTTTGTATCAAGCTGTAGTGTTGTGGGCAGGACTGCCAGGCTGCTAAAGGCTCTTCAGACCTGCCAGCCTTTCCCAGGGACTGCTTATCTTGTAATAGCATTTTTGGTTTGGTGTGGGGTTTTTTGGTTTTTTTTTTTGGGGGGGGAGGGGGTTGTTTGGGTGTTTTTTTAAGTGTCCACAATGATTGCAGTCTTTCTCTGCTCAGACCGAGGGATCTCTTGGAACTTACTGGTTTGTTTCTGCAGTACTTGACAAGATCCCCTTTTGCATATGAGGATAAAGAAGTCTGAGAGAAGGTCACTGAGGCACTTTTGCTATACACCTCATGAAATGCTTTGAACTGGGCATGTCCGGTTAGCGAAGGCTCAGGCTGGGGAGTTACGCTTTTGTTTGGTCACTCCTAACTCACTAATTTGAGTAGAAGCGGGTGCAGAACAGACAAGCTGTTGATGGAGTGAGTGTCCTGAAATGCTGGCGATCCGTTCTGCTCCTGTCATAGGGCACCACTAGAAGCATCACGGCAGGTCTGTTGACCTTTGGTTCGATATCCTCCTGCATCTAAACGCCATGTCCTCCAGCATGGTTAGGAGATCTTTTTGCTTGCTGCATCCTGGGGTAAACACCCTGTGATTATGCAGTGTTAGGTGGGCAGTAGTGTGCTGTGCAATAATTGAGAGCAGCTTTCAAATCCGGTTTTGCCTGTGAATTAAATGGGTGCTTTCACTGAGTGAGAATCGAATCAGCACATCTGAAAGCTGTAGAAGTTGTCTCCTTCCACTGAGAAAGCAAAAGTAGCCTGTGGAAGTGTGTGTATTTGGGGATAGTGAATCTGGGCTGGACCCCCAAGTTACATGTGGTTTTTTGTTTTTGTTTTTTTTTTTTTTAATAGAACACTGTGTTGGATGTATTCCAAAGACCCTGCCTGTGTTATGGGGTTAAGATTTGCTTGACCCAAGCATAGAAGGGATGCTCAGCAAGAAATAATTAGGCACTGCAGAAGAACAGAGCTTTATTGCAGGGCCTGAATATAATAAATGAAAACATTTGGACTGTCCTCAGCACTGCTTACCCAAACAAACAAGGGGCTGAGTTAATCTTCCAGTAAGAATACAAACTTCTAATATATCTCAAGGGAGGTATTAAACTTTTGGCTGCAGTTTTGACGCTTAGGGAGATCTTCAGAGAACTTTTATAAGCGCTTGGGAAGGTACATCCTGTCTCTGTAAGCTTGACTTTTTCCAGGTTTTTGCACTCACCTTTACTGCTGCACTGATATAAGTACAGATCTTCACTTGACTCCTGCCATCATCCATTAATTCTTTTTCTCCAGTTAGAGGTTGTTCTTAAGGTCCCAGTGACTGGTTTCTGTTGGTTTGGTTAGAGCTGTTCTGCTGAAGTTAGCTGTGTGCCGTAAACTTGGCTACTGAACACTGGAATTAAAGTGTCTCTAAGCTCTTGTCCAAGGGTGGTGGTTTTTTACTGTCCTGCATCTCCAGGCAGGCATCTTTCTCCATCCAGCGCAAATACCTTGATTCCTTCAGCCCCTTGCCTTGCATTTGGTTCTCTGCACCTGTGTCATTTATTCTAGGTCCCGATCCACTCTGAAATCCCATCAAGGCTCATTTTACCAAGGAAATGCAACCACAGTCTCTCCAGCACTTGCAGCATCTAGCGAGTATGTGTGCTCAGCAGTGCCAGCATCTCAAGGAGGAGAAGGTTGTGAGCAGCCAGCATTTGGGATGTGCAGCAAGGGACCCCCATCTTGAGGGGCCAGATCAGCACTCCACCCCAGAGCCAGTGCTTCAGGGACAAGGAGAATGTACCAATTAAAATTGTCCCATCAGGTAAGTGCTTCAGTCACCACTGCTGTACACACTCTGGTGTGACAAGAGGTGCATTTATTAACTTTGTGGGCTTGATCTGCATTTGGACTATTGCAGGATATAGAGAACAGCCTGACACTGTTACTGGCACCTCCAGGAAAGGATTTCAGCCAAGGTTTTGTTTCATGCTAACCTATACCTTATATGTCACCTATGATGGACCCTCTGGGTATCTCTGTCCCCTCTCTCAAGAAGCCTTGTGGCATCCACCTTTCTAAAATGCATTGTCGTATGTATTTCTGCATGCATGGCACTTGTGGGAGGAGTGAGCAGCTGCATGGCATAGTTGCAGGTCTTCTTCTGCCCTTAGGTGCCTCAGCATATCCAAAAAACTTTCCTACTTCTCAAGCTCTCCATTGTATTTGACTGTCTTGTATAGGATAATTTGACCTTCTGTCATATGTTGAAAGACATTCGGGGTTTAAAATGAGGCTTTTCTTTCAGAGATCTAAAATATTAATTCTAGTACTATTGTTGAGTCTCAGGGGACCTGGTATCTCGGCTTGCTGTGCCACTGAATTGCAACAGATTGTGTTTTGGGCTCATTTTCCCTGTGACACTCAAACAAAATTGTTCTGGAGTTTTTGCCTTATAAACGTAATTCCTAATGTTCAGACTCAGCAATCCTAAACCTTGCAGCTGCAAGAGAAAGGGCAGTCGGATTATACTGATGAAAGGCAAAACATGACGGTGCAATCGGCGTATTTTTGCTGGGGAAAAAAATGTGCTATTTCTTTGTTTTGCAGACCCAGTGGCAGCTGTAAAGCCCAGCCATGTCCCCAGGGAGCTACCAGCCATTGGTGTAATGGTGAAGAAACAGAGGAAAAGGTGTGAATGTGCTCACATGTAAAGGCTTTCTGACAAAGATCTGGGCAACTTCTTTGTGCTTCTGGGCTCTTCAGAATGAAGGTGAAGAGAAAGCACCGTGATGGCATGCACACCTTGAGACCAAAATGCAGTTTGTATGCTCTGTGTTGTGCATGGGGTCATCTTTGACCATCTTGCAGGGCTCTGTCTGAGGGGCCAGCACAACCTGGTGTCATCTGTGGATGCCGAGTACCAGGGCCATAGCCAGACAGGATGATGTGAGGACATCACCAAGAAGTGCCCAGGGTGGCAGTTTCCCCTTCCAGCAGGACAAGCACTTGGGCTTCTTGGACACCTAGTCTCTGTATATCTGCCTGCTTGCTACACCTTCCAGAAGTGCTGTTTGTACTGTACTGATATTGTTTATGTTGAATAAATGCTTTCTCCAGCCTCTTTGTTGTGGCAACTGTTTTTGCTGAATTGAAAAAAGTGGGGGGTACTTGTTTAAGCATTGTGGTGAGACGTGATCATGATTATATTTTTAATCTTTAATGAAATGTTTGTTTTGAAAAAGTGCATCTTCAAAATGGGGACACTTGTGCAGGAGCCAAATCTGACAGTAGTCCTAATGTTCCTTGTTTGGATGAGGGTCTTGAACTGGGCTTTCCCCATCCCACAAGCACCCACAAGCATCAGCCCACTGTTTATTTCAGAGTGCAGGTGCATAGGTGTTCATGCTACTTGAGTGATTTCTGCTTTGTTCTAGAGGAAAAGGGATTTCTCACCAACTTCTAAAGTTTTTTTGCTGTTTGGATTCATTCTCCATATGGTGGGATGTGTGTGGGTTGACTCTTCTGCTGGAGGTGGCTGATGGGATGTGCTAATGGCTTTTTCCAGCTGTTCTGGGCACCAAGCTTTTGTAAGGAGAAACATCTCTCTTATGGCTTTCTGTTGTGAAAAAAGGATAATGAACACAGGCTGATCTGATGCTTTAGAATAAACTGCTATTGTTTCTAACGTCTTGAAACAATAAGACAAGATTGTCCTCACCTTCTCTCAGAAAAATCCAAGAGAGTTTGAAATACGTATATTTGAGTTTCTCAGCAGAAATAATTGCTTGGGCTGTGACAGGGAGTATCCAATAAGTAATACTGAGAAGCATATATACTTTTGCCTGAGCTGGGCTGGCTCACAGCAGGGAAGATGTTGGCTATAATAACCCTAACCAACAGTGTCTTGATCTGCAACTTGAAATGATCCTCACTTCCAGTGACTTAAGTAGATGATTTGTGCTTGAATGTCAGTCCTTCTGTGTGTGAGCTCTGGTTGTCTTGTAGTGGCATGGTTTTTGTCAAGGTTTCAGACTTAAGAATGGAACTGGGATGACTTTACTCAAAACCACAGAGTGTAAATAACACTTCTGACAACAGTGCTAATATTTTGAGGGGAAGAGGAAGCCTCCTGTCTCTTAAATTTTTGTACACTAAGGACACTGTGATGACTCGCATTCTTTGGATATCTCTTATTTCTTCCACTTGCTACCAGAAGATTGACTTGGTTCCTATGTTATTGTTGCTTGGTAGAGCAGTTGCATGAGTGCACATCTCAGCCTTGCAACTCTACTGCGTTTTTTCAACCCAGGTGTAAAGGCTTATTCTTTAACAATAGTCTTGAATGGAGTTGGGGAGAAGATGGTATAGAAGAAACAGACAGGGAGAAGAGCTCTGAGAGTTCTCCTCCATGATCCTCAGTCCCCTTTGGTAGGAAACCGTCTAAATCATACAGATTTTAGTAAATACTAGGAGGAGTAGTTCAGGGAGGGCTGCTTTTGCTTCTGTTGAGGTTGTAAGAGGGCTTGCCTAGAGCAGAAAATGCAAAGCAGGTTCAGATATACTCAAGAGACCTGTGCCTGTGAACTACTTGTTGTGGAAAGACTCCTTCAAATATCATCAAGAAAGTGGATGAGCCCCAAACTGCACTAATAGAGCAGAGTTTCTGATTGCTGAACCAAAACTGAAAAGTTTTATACAACCTATATGCCTTTAACTTGCCTAGCACACAGATTTTGGCCCTTTTGAGTAGACAGTTTTAGTAATACATTAATTCTGAGTGAAAATGAGAAGTAATTTTTATGAGAAGCTGTTGGGGGGGGAAGTCATCTTTCAATACAAATAATGATAAATGTTTTACAGGGTATTTGAAGTATTTTGGTTCATAGGAACTGATGTAAAACTGACAATTTCCTGTTCCTACTTAATTTTTTTTTTCCTTGTAGGATAAATACTAAAATATTTGAGAAAAAAAGCTATCAAGTGACAAGCAGACTGTTGACAGGTCAGGAAGGTCACTGCCCATCCAGCCACTGCAGGTGCTAGCTCTGCTTTGTGTCCCACTCATGAACAAAGCTGATGCAGTTCCTGAGGCAGACAACAGCCTCTGGGATCTCCCATGTGGGAATGGCTGTGGCTGAGCTCTGAACCCATTTCTGTCTCACCTGCTTGATACCAATAAAGGGTTCTGAAAAGCTTTTTGAATCTTTTTTTTGTCAACGGTTCTAGATAGCTTACTAGATCCCATTGAGTTTAGTTTCTATGACTTCCTTCTCTCCTCCTGTAGTTCTTTCTAAGGAATTATATTTATAGTCACATTAGGTGGTAGAAGATTAATAATTTACCAGCAGTACCTTGTTATTATCACTTTTTACCAAAGCTTGTTCACTTCCATGTTTGCAGTAATTCCATGCAAGGCATGTTTTTCTTCAGAGAGGCTGTTTGGCCCTGTGTTATCCTTTCCATAGCTGAACTAATACAGTGATTTTAACTAATGTAATTATATAGTTCTGGTCTGTTAAATGCCATACCCATTGGATGGTTACCTTCTGTGCTGTGACTGTGATATTGCACATTAAAAAAATGTTTTATTTTAAAGTTCTTTGAATCCCGTTTTTGGTTTAATCTCTCTGGGGCAACTGCAGTAGAAATACCATTGCCTAATTTCAAAGTGGTCTTCAAAACAGTAGTGAACTGGTTTTATCCAGGGAAATATGCTTCGTGAGCTAAGACTGGAGCAATCTTGACATTATTGTGCTTAATAGCTAAACATTGAGAAGATGGGCATTGTTTCATGAGATTCAATAAATGCAGGTAAATTGAAGAGGAAACGCTGAAAAGGAGGAGGCTGAAGACAGCAAAAGGTTTTATTACAAAGCATTTTTATTTCTTGGGAATCTTAGTAGGCAAACTGTGTAAATCGCAGATTGGTTCCAACTTGGGTTTGGAAACTGGTTCCCTTTTCTTATGTCTTGTGGAGTTTTTTGCCTTGTAAAATGCCCACAGTCCTCCGACCTATCTCCCATCCTGGCAGTGGTGTTCATACTACACATTCTTCTACTGCTTTGTACAGCCAGTGCTATCGCAGCTATGCTGAATGAGGTCCCAGCCTAACTACAATATTAACCCTGCAAATCTGTTCATTTTCTCTTGAGCAGCCCCAGGCAGGGTATACAGGAGAATGTGTCCAATTGAAAAACTATTACAGACTCGGTTGTGCTGCAGTGTGTTAAATTGCAAGAGAGCTGTGTTTTTTCTGCTAGAGAGGATCCTACTAAGGGAGATGGTGGTGTCTGTCTCATACAAGTTACAGAATTTGTTTTTCATTTTAGCCTCAGCTTTCGTTGGTGATTTTATCTTTATCTTTGCCAAACGGTTTGTCCGCTTTTAAGCACTGAAATGTGTTCCCGAGACCTGCTGCTTTCCTCCCGCTAATTGTCCAACACATGCTTCCCCCCCTCCCCCAGTTTGTATCAGTCCCTGCCTTCTTACTTTCACCTTTCCAGTTGTTGTTTTTAATTTTTTCTTCATTGTTTTATTAAATACTGTACTGCAGATCAGTAGCATCTTGGGTGGTGGTTGTACCACATAGCATTTGTAGCAGACATTAGTTTTGCATAGCGTGTGTACCTTATTTTGTCTGGACTTGTCTTCTTTGTGCTGCAGGCACCTCCTCAAGCAATTGTAGTGATTAAGCCTGGTATTTCTGCAGATTTATATTAACTTCTGCTTATAAAGAAACAGAAGAAACCCAACCCTTCCCCCCCACACACCATCTAAACTAGATATTTTTCTTCATTCCCTTCGTTTTTATCAGTATTAGACCTTAGCTTGCTTTTGTGTATGAGAGAAAATTAGTTAAGTACCTTGTGGTTTATAGGTGCCTTTTGTTACATATTATTTGGATTTATTGTGCAACGTTGGCCTGTAAATCATATCAGTCAGACATTTACCTGGCTCATGTTGCCTTTATGGTTTGGAGTCTTTTAGCAACCATGAAAAATGGAGAAATGATGTTTTTGGCGGCGGCGGCGGCGGACTTTGCTAGTCCGAGTGCCCCGCACCTCTCTCTCTCTCACGGCAGCGCTCCGCTTTGGCGAGGTTTGCTGCGTGGCTCTGAGGAGGTGTTTACAAGGAATCCATTACTTTGTGCAGCTGAAAAGACAGCGTTGAAAAGAACAAAGAGAGTTTTGTGAAGAAGTGTATCTGACTTCTCGCTGCTTTGCTTACCTTTTAAATGTAAAACTTAGTCATTTGCAAGGGCTTTTAGTTCTCAGGGCATCCCTATAAGATCCCACCCCGTGTGGGGCTTCCCTTCAGTCGAAAGCGGTGTTGTCTCAAAACCGCTCTTGAGCGCGTTTCTATTTTAATCCCCGACTTTGCCTGCCGCCTGCCTTCCTGGCTCCAGCTCACCGCCCTGCCCTGCCCCACCCGCCGCGCAGGCGGCCGCTGCTCCGTGCTGGCGGTGCGGCTCTTCTTCCTTTGTGACTAAAAGTTGGTTTCATCAGCAAAGCATCGGCTCCCGCTCCGCGCTCGGAGCTCGCCGGCCTCGGGGAAGCCGCTCAGGACCTGCAGCCTATGCGGGGCACGCGGGGGCAGCTGTCGCCATACGCATAACTTTTAAATGGAAAATGTCTTTCTCAAAGGCTGTCGATGTCCAGTGGTCTGCAGTCCATGAGCAGTTGACTAGTCCAGGTGTTTCTGCTTCTGTTCCCGTGCTATGTGAATTGGGAATTCGAGAGAAGAGTGTGCAGGATGGAGGAGTTGAGGGTTTGTATTTCTGTTCTGGTGGTATGAGAGTGACGGAGGGCTTGGGAAGGAACAGAAAGCCTACCTGGGGTTGTCTTAATTAAGGAAAATACTGTTCTTGGTCTTTTTGTCTGCAGCTCTTTCTATCGGTGTCTTTATCAACTCTTAAAAAAGAGAATGACCTTTTTTGATGGTATGGATTGACTGTGACGAATAGTATTCAGGAAAAACTTGTTTTATTGAATGTGAATTCTGTTTTGTGGGTTTTATCAGTGCATTTTGCCCCACTTCTCTAAAAGTGTAGCCAGTTAAAACTCTTAAAACTAGATTAATTTTAAAAACTGCCAAGTACTTCTCTGTGCTTTACTGAGGAGAAAGTCATAATCTAAGACTATGAAACAGTGCTATTGATTCGAGACTGTGGGGTTCTGTGAGGTTCTGAAGGAGATCATTAACCCAGGTCTATCTTTTCACAGGACAGTCGGCCCAATATGTCAAGACCTCTGATCACTAGATCCCCTGCATCTCCATTGAACAATCAAGGCATCCCCACTCCAGCACAGCTCACAAAATCCAACGCACCAGTTCACATTGATGTGGGTGGGCACATGTATACCAGCAGCTTGGCCACGCTTACAAAATATCCTGATTCCAGGTAACTTTAAAAAGCTTGTTCTGCATGTCTTTGGCAACCCCTTTTCTTCCATTTCATGCTTGGATGTCCTGGGATTGTCTCAGAATGATGAATTTAGTTCCCTTTGTTTCAAAATTAAATTAGCTTTCTTTGTTCGTAGGCGGTTAGAGACTGACTTTTCTTTCCCTGCTCCGCTGTGTTTCCAGCAAATGGCATTTCTGCAAATCCCTATGTGTATGTACTAAAACAAAGCTGATAGTAAAGAGCACTTACTTTCTACTACCTAGGATTCTGGTTTTATGCCAGGATACCCATTCTGTGGTTTGTTACATTCAAAAACTGTAGCGATAATGCCTTTAAGCCCAAAGGTGGGGGTGTTGGGGTATTTGTTTTGTTTCTTTTGGAGCAGTAACCGCTCTCCTGTACTGTCAACGTGTAATCTCTGATGTGTCACTTGAGGTGAAAACAAGGTTGAATGTGATAAAGTATAGCACAGTATTAACTGAATACCATTTATACAATCTTGGGACTTTTCAAATAGTTAGGCTCTTACCTCTCACGTACCTTTTGAATGAAGTATTTGTGACTCTGGAAGCTTGCTGGTATTAAGCAGTTAGAATGCTGCTGCATGTGTAAGTAAATGGTGTATGTACAGTAAAGGTGCATCTTTAAGAAAACAGCAGTGCATTGAACAGCGTGTGTGGGTATTAGATGGGGGGATGGCAGACAAACACTGTAGTGGTGCTGTAATTCTAAGAGTTGGTTATCAGATAGCAGGTGTTGATTGTGTCCACTGTATTAGTCTACACCTTGCCCTTCACCACCCAATCCTGCTCTAGAGGGAATGCAGTGTTACATTTGTGCTCTTTCCAACATTGCAGGGGGGAGGTTTTGAGTTTCTTGATCCCGCGGCTCTGATTTGCCTCTCCAAAGGGTACAAAGCAAGCTTCATGGGATGTGATTTTGTTCAAAGCCTGGGTTTGAGTGGTATTACTGCCTCTGCAGCCTCAGCTCGTAGTATTAGGTGGACTGAAGTAGTGCTCCTGGTAGACACTAGGAGCTGACAAGACTAGAGGAAAAGAACAGTAAATACATGTATATGGAAGAGAAACAGCTGAGCACATGGCCTTTCTTATGACAGCCTCCTCAAGGAAGGCCAGACAGAGGGAAGAGAAGCCATGCCAAAGCCCGGATTTACCAGGAGAGATTGAAGCAATGTGTGGACAAACTTGAACTGTTCTTCGAAAACCAAATCTGTCATTTTTGGGGAATTTTTTTAGGAGCTCCTTGTGCTCAGCTACTAGTAGTTGTGATTACTTAGTGGGTTTTTTGGTAATTTCAGCAGTGATGGTGTCTGACAGTGTTGTCTGTGCAGTATGAGAGGCTTCTGCTTCTGTTTGCATGTCAAATTCACAGAAACGGTATATTACTTAAAGTGAAGAAACACTAAAATGTCTTTTATAAGTGTGTATGGTGGCAGTGGAATTTAAGCTTAATGTATTCTGTGTTCCATTGAGCCATTGTAGCACTTGAAAGTGAAAGCTATGCCTGTAGTATCAAAGCCAGTTTAATAAATTAAACATTTTAAAGCTCTTCAAACATAATTTAAAGAAAACCCAAACTTTGAGTTATAGTCATTCTGTTTCAAGTCGTTCTGACATGTGTTTGTGTTTCAGTTCTGACAGTGTCTTTTGAACCTCTTGATGAGTGAATATTTCCAGTGTAGCTGTTAGAACCTGGAATTCCCAGCCAATTCCAGAACTTGAGAGTTGTTTTTTTTTTACATTACAGCTTCAAAAGAGCAATTATTAAACTCGTTTGAATGTCAAGACAATGGCAAGAAGCAATATGCCAAAAATCATGATATAGCTGTTTGGAGTTTGTCTGTGAGATTTTACCATAAAGATTTTTTCCAGTGGAGGATTGGGATGAGGGGTATATATGTGTGTGTGTGTGTGTGTGTATATATATATATATATATATATATATATATAATTTTACCTTGCGCTCGCTATATATAAATATGTGTGTGTGTGTATATATATATGTGTATATATATATATACACACACACACACACACATATTTATATGTAGTGAGCGCTAGGTAAGAATTATCCAGTAATTGTACATGAATACAAGTTGTTTCTTGGAGCCTGACCTGGTCAGTTTGTATCTAGAGTCTAACTCTTGTTATACAAAGTTAACACAAGGTTTTGGTCAACATCGTTTATATGTTTCTTTTTCTGCCAATATTACATGTGTGAATGATACCTAAACTAAAGCAAGGCCTCATAGATATTTTTGGACTAGTTGGAACCTCCTGAGACTTACTGCCATATGAAGTATTGCCTGTGAAAAATAAGGTCTTGATTATCTTACCTGAAAGAGCTCTGCTCCGGGGATGAGTCAAGGCATAGGTTGCAGGCTCCAGCATCTAACAGGTTGAGACATGAAAGTCGTTAGGTTTCTAACTCGTATTACATGTAGTCTAAGGGGCCAGAAGCCTAAAGTGAACCTTTCATCTGTGGGCCAGGTACCAGAGTCATCTTTCTTTGTGAGATTGAAAGGGGTGATATCCAAAACAGCAGCTTTGGAGTCACTGTGACTTGCTATTGTGAAGACCTTTTCTGACAGAGCAGTCTCTGCTTTGGAGCAAGTATACTCTTCTTTCTCCTTTGGGCTCACATCTTGTACCTCTCTATTTTCTCCTTCCTGGGTGGTAGATGGAAATTGGAAACATTACTTTAAAAAAAGAGTTCCTTAAATGAGTAACGTTACCTTACCAAAGGAACTCTTTACGTTACCAAAGGTAAAGACTTGTAGCTCGCAGGGCTCACTTTCCATAATTTTTTCTGTTAGATCCCTCAACCTAGTTTGTGCCTTGATATGCAAAATACCTACTGACAGGTATCTGTTCATTACTCCAAAGAAACCCTTGTGTGACTGTAAAAGTGCCTTGCCACTGCTGCTGCATCCCTGCCCTTTGCTGTGGAATGACCATTGTGGACTTCTCTCAAGTGCTTTTGTGACTGAAGAACCCAGGCTATCAGTGCTTTGGCCAAAGGCTGACACAGTGAAGCAATCCAGCAGACAAGCAGCTTATCTTGTTTTGAGTATTCCTAGAATTTTAAATTCTGAACCTGGAGTAATGCTTAAAAAACCCCTCAAAATAATTTAAAATACAGTAGCATGTCATTTAAAAGAGACCAGTTACATTCTGTACCGAGGAGAACCTACTGTTTTCACAAGGAAAATCCCATATGAATACTTTATCTCATCAACAGGCTGCAGGTTCTCCCAAGACACCGGTGAGACCATGCCTCAGACATTATCTCATCCAGCTGCATAATAAAATTTGCCAGACTTAGGCTTCAAGAAGAGGCAGTTTGAATCAATATATCTACCAGGAAGACCTAATGTAAGGCCAGTCTGCTGAAATAAATAGACATTTTCTCTGAATGCCTGAGGAGGGGGCAAGTGTCCTTTTATGCAGGTCTCTCCACCAAGATTGTAGACCTTGGTATATTTGCCCATATACATTGTTCCTTCTCTTGTGAGCTACTGACTGATAGTTGTTCATATGTTGTGTCAGTGTGAACAGACCAAACGAAGTGTTTGTATTCTATGAGGAATATTACAGTTCTGGAATTTGTTCTGGGTCATGCCTTCTTCTTCTCAACAGCCTTTGGTTTACTTTAAGTTACCAGATCTTCAGGTTGATATTTGGCAACACACAGAGTTATCTGTTAAAGATTTGGGTGCACTATTTTTTTTTGTTAATTACTTGGTTTTTGCAAATGAATGGGTTTTTTCTAAAAAAAAAAAACCTTTATTTTCTACTACCCAGAAAAAAAAAATTATTCCAGGGAAGATGGATCCAAGATGAGGGTCTGCTAAAGGAGCCTTTCTCCCCTGAGAGCTGAGGCACATGCATACCATCCCATTGTTCCCTATCATCACCAGTCTGATGAAAACAGGTTGAGGTGTTAGGATTTATGATCATGAGAAGAGGAAGCACTGGCCTGTTAGTTCTGATACTTAAACCTGATCAGCCTACTTTCCTTCCAGTGCATTATCACCTTGCAGTAGGATTGAACCCTTTGCTTGGAGTTGGCATTCCTACCTCTTGCAGCCTTAATGCTGTCTGTATCGCATCTACCAGAAGTTGTTGTGTATCTGGCTGTGACAACCTCAACTGACTATCAGAACTAAATGGGAAGATGTTTAACTTTGATCATATGAGCATCAGCTGTCTGATATCTCTGATATCAGCAATATCAGCAGTGTTGTCTATCTCATGTGTTCAAAGCATCTGAACTTTTAATTAGTTCTGTTCAAGTCATCTGGTACAAATATTTGCACAACACCACGGCATTGGATTGCTACATCCTATATTCCCATTTAAAACATTGTATATATTTCTTTGTAGAACTTTTTGGGGTATCTGCTTGTGTTACTACAACTCCCATCTAGAGTTACTCCCTGCATATGAAGATGGATTCTTCTTATACAGTATTTCACAATACTTCCAAATTTCTGCCCAGGGCTATTTCAGGTTTTCATATGAACCAATCCATTCGTGTCCCAGTTTTCTTACCCAATCTTTACTCTCAGCCCTCAGGGAAATTAAATTTCACACACTTGGATCTAGTTAGGACACTGGCATTTTTTTTTATTGGGAAGAGTTTCTTTTGCATCAAGAGCACAGAATTACTTAGGAGAATGCCCAGACTGTCCTTGGCCTTTGACAGTTTGCAAGCAAGACTTATCCTTCATAGGTTGTGCGGGTAGACTTTCAAGGACATACTATGAATCAGGCAGGCTAGCACTGCCTGCCTGTTTCAGAGTTCCAGTTTCTATTGTCCGTAGACTGTCCCCAGTTCCAAAACAAGACACTGGCATGACCCTTAATTCAAACTTCTGGAGATTGCAACGCCATGCTGGACACTTCTGTCTCTGTAGGAGATGTGCTTCTGTAAGGGTGGTCTACACGTTGCATGGGGTTCCTTCTGTAATGCCT